AAATGTTTTTCTAAAACCTACATCACACCAGACTGCATCTCACGATTTCTGAATAATTATCGATTTACGTTCACTAATCACCACACATTAAAAATAATAATAATAATGTTCCCAATAATATTTGCCCTGGAGCAATTTTCGTACTTTCATATGATGGAAAATAATTCAAAATAATAATTAATTAACGAAAATTAAAAATTAATGGTTAATTAATTTAACATGATTGAGGGTTGATATAACCTTGCTGTTGCGAACCCTCGTAAAAAAAAATATATATATATACATATTTGGAATAGTTTGTTCATTCTGCTAAGCATGTTGAGCAATAAACATAATTTCATAATTTATATAAAAACTTATTACTCCAGGACTAGTTGAATTAATCGAATACATTTTGTTTAGTTAGTTAGTGGATATTTAAATTGAACTATTTATTGAGGTACTAAACTACCTCTCTTTCTTACTCAATCCCTCATCAATATTTTTTCTTTCATACATCGCATCACGCTGTCTCTGATTCACATTTTTTCTGCCTTTCTTTCTTTTTCTCCACTCTCTCTCTCTCTCTCTCTCTCTCTCTCTCTCTCTCTCTCTCTCTCTCTCTCTCTTCTTTTTCGTAGTTCGTTTAATTTAAAAAAAAATATTTAAAAAAATTGTATTGAGCTTATGAAGCTTAGTAATGAATGGTAAAAATTTATTTGAGTTATATCGATCGATTAAGCTTGTTTAGTTACTTACTTTTTTGGGCACGTAGTTTTGTAATTTATTCTATTTAATTTATTATATTTATTCCTATTGTTGATTTTTGAAATTGTTAAAAGTGAAAATTGATTTGTATAGGTTGATAAAGTCAATTTACGCAAGTTGATGATGTAGATTAAATTAAATTAATCTTTATATTAGTTTAACTGGCTGTTTTAATTAGCAGAACTGGCATTACCGACAGTAATCGTTATTTATTTTTTAGTAGATAGATATTTAAAAATATTGATTTTGTAATGTTAATCTTATGATGATATAGGCTTCATCGTGATATATAGTTATAAAGCAAATTTAACAAGATACTTATGAGTACTTAGATACTTATAGTTACTTATTTATAGGAATGTTAATTGTTGAGACAACCTAATATGTACATAGCAATTCCAGCCCTCATCTCAAGGGTCTGGCATTGATGATTGTAAATTCACTCAATGTAAATACATTCTTTCTTCTTCTTTTTCTTTCTTCTCGAAAAAAAAACCCTTTAAAACAGCATATGCCTGGAATAGGTTGAGATAGAAATGTTTAGTTGGAGACATTTTACTGTATTTTTGATCTAGTTTCACCTCCTTGAGTATTCACATCTACAGAAATGGCGGAATAGGAGATATATGTGTATAGATAGATAAATAATGTGTGTACGTCCGCATATGTGCGTGTGTGTGAGTGTAAGAGTGAGAACAACATTTTAATTTACAAACTACGATCACGAGTGGCATTTAGACGGTCTGCATAGTGACAGTGATTATCCTTTGGAACGGTGCCGTTTTATATTAGAAAACTTGGAAAAGTATTATTTTTGAAAAAAGCCGGACGTCTGGAAAATCTGCCCGCTCATTGGGAATCGATGGTAGCACACAATAACGTCCTCTAATCTCAGGACCAAGAGGATTCAATGGGATACGAGATTGGCGAGAGGTGCTATAGCTATTGCTATGGGGCCCTTTTCGGAGAAGCTGGGTAATTGGTTTTCCTATTGGACCTGTCGACACACCCGCTCCGACTCAATCTATCATTTTTTTCTCTCTTCCTTCTTCTATTTCCGCTCGCTTTTTCGCAATTTTTCCCTGATTAAAATGGCCCCTGAGCGTCGACGCGAATCAGAGAATAGTGCATAAACTTTCATGTATGTATACCCACTGTACTACAGAGGGAGAAATATATTTTCAGAGCACATAAATATCAATGTGTTATTCAGTCATTTAAATCTAGATTTAACACAGTTAAAGTTCAGCAAATGAATCAAACCATCAATTGAAGACCATAACATTTAAATTTTTCATAGGCCATGGTCAAAATCTTATCTTTTTTTACGAGGGTTCGCAACAGCAGAGGTTATATCAACCCTCGGGGTGCCGGTGTTTTCGAAAAAAAACATTTATAAGTATGTCGGGTTCGAATGCAAGGCCGGTGGATTCGAACCCGGGACCTTTACCTTACAGTGATGAGCGCCGTGTCAACGCCTAAACCGTTGCGGCCACCGACGCCCCGGTCAAAATCTTTAAACGCCTCAATGTGAAGCAAGGCGACAATTTTTTTTTAGAAGTATGTAGTAAGTAAATAGTAACAAAGTAAATCTTATTCTTAAATAAAAATATTAGACACGTTCTCACTATTTAGTAGTAAAAAATATCCATAGTGCAAACTAAGCGGAGTGTACTTTTTATAAGATCCAAATCATTAATTCATAAAAATGGGAGAACTCCATCTGACATTTTTTACCGACGATGTTACCAGTCACGAGAGGATGTGTTGGAGTTTTAGGCATTTTCGGATATATCGATTAGCCGCCATCTTGCCACGAAGGGAGTGTGCACCGTACATAATCTCTGATGTCCCCGATAGTAGACAATAAATCTAACCCGGTGCCGGGCTATGGCCTCCTCCCCCGTCAAAATGTTAACTGACGTAAGGTAAATAAAGAAATTGGACTTGAGATGAAGTCCGGCTTAAGGCTAAAGGATGCCTGTAAGACAAGATTTTTAAAAATATATGTGAAAGGGTGACAGTACTCAAGGAAAAATAAATATTTAAAAAGACATATGGTCCACTGGATAATCAACTTAGTGATAAGTGCAAATGGTTCAGTTTCTAGGTTCATACGAGAGGATCGAAGTCACGATAGCTCTATGTGGTAGAGTAGCGGCGTATCAAGCGGAAGGTCGTGGGTTCGAATCCCGCTCGTGGCACTGACTTTTTTTATCTCAACTAAAAACCTTAATTAATTGAATGATATTAATTGGTCAAGCTGACCACGAAAAATAATGAGTTCATACTAGGTTTGACTAGTCATGCAGACTATTCATATTTGCTTTTTGTATTTTGTAATCATGGATCACTAAAACTTCACAACCGATTTGTTATGTTGGCATATTAGCCATGATTAATTCATTATGATTTTAAGTATTTAAATCACTTCTGACCTAAGATAATGTATTGGTAGTTATTAGTTGTTTTCTTTGGTCCAAAATGTAAGAAGTAAACTGCAATATAGTCAAGCTTAGGTGTGCTTATATCTGAGGGAAACGAAGTTCTTTAATGAAAATTACGCTTTTAAGGTATATTTCATTATGTCGGATTCTTCTTTTTTCTATTGTTTTTATATTTGTACAGTGAAGTAGTCTCAAATTTAATTAGAATTTTAAGAATTAAATTGAATGTATGATCGTCTGATAACGACGCAAATGTATGTGTAGATTTAGTAACTTCGAGAGATGAGAAAGCATGGAGTGCAATTATGAGTATAAAAGGATTGAGCCAGCAAATATTTATTATATACTAATCAAAATAAATGACGAAATAATAAGAATATTAATTTTTATCATTTGTTTGTTTACTAATCTTTTACAATTGTAAATAACAATTAATAATAATTGTTAATTATTAAACAGGTTAATAAAAAGAGAGGTAATATGAAAAAAAGGAGAAGAAAGTTAAGAAGAAAGAAGAATGAGAGGAAGAGAGAGAGAGAGAGAGAGAGAGAGAGAAAGAAAGAAAATTAGAAAGAAAAATAGTGAAATAAAAAATAAGATAGGGGGCGTCGGTGGCCGCACCGGTTTAGGCGATGACACGGCGCTCATCACTGTAAGGTAAAGGTCCCGGGTTCGAATCCCGCGGCCCTGCATTTTTTTCAAAACCCCCTGCACCCTGGGGGTTTATATAACCTCTGCTCTTGCGAACCCTCGTAAAAAAAATAAAAATGAATAAAATAATAAGCTAGAACAGAGAATAAAAAGGATACAAAAAGGCAGAAAGTGAATACAAATAGAGACAGAGAAAGAATACAAAGAGGCATAGAAAATATGAATGTGAAAAACAAAAAAGGCAGAAAGTAGAAAACAGTAGATAGACATAGAAAGACGGAAACGTTGAGAGCCAAAAAAAAAATAAAAAGAGATATAGCGAAACTGAGAGAGAGGGAGAGTGAAAGATGAACAGAAAGAAAAAGAAAGCAGAGAAACTCAGAAACCGAAGGAGATATAACCTAAAGGAAAAAACACAGTGAACGTGAGAATAGAAAATGTAGAATGAACAAAAATATAGGCATAGAGAAACAGAAAGATTGAGAGCAAAACATAGAGTGAGGCCAACAGAGAGAGAGAGAGAGAGAGAGAGAGAGAGAGAGAGAGAGAGAGAGAGACACACATACAGACAGAAGTGAGAAAATGTTTATTGATAAATGTGAATTTTGAGAAAAATGAGAGATGTCACGCATACTAGATTAAGAAAGAGTATAAGAGTATTTTATATTTATATATGTTTATATACTATAGTATACTAATATTTTCTCCTGAGTAATGATGGATTGTGACTTGTATCGTAAAAAGAAGGATGTCGAACACACGCTTGCCTCCTTTTTTTATTTGATTCAAAGTAAAAATTATCGCTTTGGAACTTCAAAAAACATTTTTTTTGCCTGTTAAAGAGGTGACTTTATAATGATCAGGTTCAAAAAGCGGCCAAACCAGTCAGGCAGTTTTAATAGAGAAGTTGAGTTTGCCGAACATTTACGTATTTTCCCTTTTTTAGCTTAACCGATTTCCTTAATTGAAAGGTCACATGTTTTATCATTTATTTTATAAAATTATACTAATAACATACAGCTTGTTTTAAATAATTGAAATTCTATCAAACATTCTTAGAGTATGTATTTTTCAAATATACATATATAAAAAATAATTCGAATTACCTTATTATGATTATAATTAGTATAAAAATATACTGATATTTTCACCGACCTTTGAAAAAAGCAATCCTTTAACTTAAGCAGGCACTTATGAAGACAATGTTATATCACACTCCATATCATCATCAACACTGATGGTTGTTGGGATGTCTTCCCAATTGATCATTTCTTCTCGTTTCATATCTGCGGCCGTGTCGTCCGCCGTCTCGCGCCGGACTGAAAGCAGATGCTGCATGCAGATGACTCCGAAGGGGTTATACCTGCACGGATATAGGGAGGGGGTTGGGGCTCCTCATTAGAATAACAAACACCCCGTCCAAGTCAAGGGTTACTAGGGTGAATCGAATCAAACCCGCCCTTCTTTCCATAAATAGGAAGGGGGTTCGATTAAAAAAAATTAGCTCTTTCTGTCTGGAGAAGAGCGAAGGGGAAAACGGCAATCTTAAAGCACATGTACTCGACCAACGAAAGTTATGTTTCATGGGTTATCAAGAATGATAACATTTTCTTTTATGAATCAATTGTTTAGATAGTTAAGCTACGTCTCTTACATCGTAGAAAACAAATAGTCTTTGGAAGTGTTGTGCGTTAGGGGGACACAAAAATTTTAAGGACAACGTAGGGAACCGAACCCATGACCACCTTATCAATTGCTAAACATAATTAGTGAAAATACTTTCATGTGAATTATCAGGTGGTGAATATTGAACGCGAAATTGTAGTAGCTGTGCAAGTTAATGTATATTTGTGCATGATGAAATGCCGAAGACCGTCAAAAAAGGAATGAAAATACCAAATCTTATAGTATATAAAAGAGAGTATAGTAGTAAGAGAGAGAGAGAGAGAGAGAGAGAGAGAGAGAGAGAGAGAGAGAGTTAGAAAGAAAGTAGACCAAGAAAGGCAAACGGCAGGCAAAAAATATAAAAGCGGGTAACAAAAGTACAGATGAAATATTAATAATAAGATGGAATCAGGGTGAATTAATAAGAAAGAGAGAGAAAAAGAACGAGAGAGAGAGAGAGAGTGAGAAAGGGCTAGAAGGAGTGTAATAGATAGAGAGACATAAAAAGGGAGAGAAAAGGAGAGAGAGAGTTAGAAAGAAAGTAGGCCAAGAAAGGCAAACGGCAGGCAAAAAAATATAAAAGCGTACAGAAAAAGTACAGATGAAATATTAATAATAAGATGGAATCAGGGTGAATTAGTAAGAAAGAGAGAGAAAAAGAACGAGAGAGAGAGAGTGTGGGAAAGGGCTAGAAGGAGTGTAATAGATAGAGAGACATAAAAAGGGAGAGAAAAAGAGAGAGAGAGAGAGAGAGAGAGAGAGAGAGAGAGAGAGAGAGAGTTAAAAAGAAAGTAGACCAAGAAAGGCAAACGGCAGGCAAAAAAATATAAAAGCGTGTAGAAAAAGTACAGATGAAATATTAATAATAAGATGGAATCAGGGTGAATTAATAAGAAAGAGAGAGAAATAGAACGAGAGAGAGAGAGAGAGTGAAAAAGGGCTAGAAGGAGTGTAAGAGATAGAGAGACATAAAAAGGGATAGAAAGAGAGGGAGAGAGTTAGAAAAAAGTATACCAAGAAAGGCAGACGGCAGGCAAAAAATATAAAAGCGGGTAGAAAAAGTACAGATGAAATATTCAAAACAAGATGGAATCAAGGTGAATTAGTAAGAAAGAGAGAGAAATAGTAAAAGAGAGAGAGTGAGTGAGAAAGGGCTAGAAGGAGTGTAATAGAAAGAGAGACATAAAAAGGGAGAGAAAGAGAGGGAGAGAGTTAGAAAAAAGTATACCAAGAAAGGCAGACGGCAGGCAAAAAATATAAAAGCGGGTAGAAAAAGTACAGATGAAGTATTAAAAATATGATGGAATCAAGGTGAATTAGTAAGAAAGAGAGAGAAATAGTACAAGAGAGAGAGAGTGAGTGAGAAAGGGCTAGAAGGAGTGTAAGAGATAGAGAGACATAAAAAAATAAAAAGGGAGAGAAAGCGAGGGAGAGAGAGAGAGAGAGTGAGAGAGAGAGTTAGAAAGAAAGAAGAATAAGAAAGGCAGACGGCAGGCAAAAAAATATAAAAGCGGGTAGAAAAAGTACAGATGAAATATTAAAAACATTAAAATAAGATGGAATCAGGATTAATTAGTAAGAAACAGAGAGAGAAAGAACGAGTGAGAGAGAGTGAGAAAGGGCTAGAAAGAGTGTAATAGATATACAGACTTAAAAGAGAGAGAGAGAGTATGAGATACTTATGTATTAGGTAATTAAAAATAATGTACATACAATTTGAATTGTGTTGATCGAACTACGATAATGACAATGTTTTATTTTTGTGTGTACACAAAAATTTCCCAGGCTTAAACTCACGTTTATTATTGTCTTTATAAATTATTTAACCTTATTCAGTGGATTTTTTTTCTTGTGAGGGACGGTCAACTAGTGGAAAATATGTGGTCCAACTGTTGGAAATAACCTGCATTATTGATAATGTTGTACTTCTAGTTTCCATCATCAGAATATTTCAAAAAAGTAGTGAAAAGGAAGAAGCGCATCGACAGATTTATGTTTACAGACCACTAACCCCCGAAAAATTGCCAGATGCGTTATTTCCCGGGGAAAAATAGGCGCGGGTAGCGGGAAAGGGGTGCCCTTCGCGCATTATGCATAGGGGAACATCAATGAACGGCATAAATTATATTTCACGGTTGGGCCGGCTCGCGAGTTGCATAAAAGCGAATGCATTACAGGGCCATTAATGAGCAGGGGCCCCCCGGCTATTAAATAACCACGGTTCGCCAGTTTACCAAAGCCCAGCCGGGGCCAGGTAGTCGGTAATAAAATTCCAATAAAGTCCAGGAAAAAACTGCCACTTATCTACTGTAACGGTTGCCGATGGGATTATCGAATATGGTATCATGTAGATTTGAAGGAGTTAATTAAAAATGAAGCTCTGTAACCTGGTGTACAATAATACAACAGCCTTCAATAAAACTATTATTGTTGAAAAATGAAAATTCTGACGATCAATAATTTATTTCAATCGAATCTTTATGTGGAAATGTTTGTGACTACTGGACTCGTCGCAGACCAAAACTCAAGAAAGTTCATAAAGCAATGCGATGTAAGGAACGTTTTGAACACAATCAGACTATGTTTTCCTTCTTGATACCGTATTTTTCCATGTTTGCCCTCATCGCATCTTCGCAGGGTCCCATGAGGCGGGAGAAAGCTTGTGCGTCGAGAAAAGCCGTTGTCAACTTTCCCTTTGCCACTGCCGTCGCTGCTCTTTGCGCATTGGTCAGCAGAGCCAGCTCGCCGAAATATCCACCTTTTTCAACAGATTTCATGTTGACTTTTTTCCCGTTGACGTTCTTCGAAATCGACACATGCCCATCGATCACGAAGTACATGCCGTTCGCTTCATCGCCTTCTTTCAGTATTACTTCGCCGTCTTTGTAGACTTTCTGGACCAGATTGTCGGCAAGGCTCATTCTTTCCTTTTCCGTGAGGTGGCTCAAGATCTTGACGTTTTTGATCATATCTAAGTAAGCTTTTCTATTTTTGTGAGCGGCTTTTATTATGATTCTTCTGAAGGTCTTACTGTCCAAGGCCCAGAGCAAGCCCTCGGTCTCTGCTTTTACGGAAGCCGACCTGGGGATGCTGTATAGCAAGGCGAGCTCTCCGAAGCTGCCGGCATCGATGTACTTTTGGATCACTTTCGGCAGTCCGTTCTCCTCTTTAATTATAGAATACGTGCCTTTTTCGATTACGTAGAAATAATCGCCTTCATCTCCCTCTTTGATGACGTACTCACCGGATTTTACAGTCTTGAGGAAGAACGCGTCTAAGATTTGATCGAATTGTTCGGAATAGAGGTTCTGCAAAAGGAGGATCTTCTTCAGGTTCGTTTGTAAATTTTGTCTTTGGGCATCAGTTTTATGGTGCTTAACGATTTCGCCGTTCTTGTCGGCTTCTGGGTTGTACGTTTCACCAACCACTGCTTTTCTTCTATGGTTTTTGGAACTTTCAGCCTCTGCCGCAAGGCGTCTTTCTGTAATAAATAAATAAATAAAGTACATATAAAATTTCTTACTGATAATTATAGTATTTTATTGTTTTCATCTGTACGAAATTACCTGATCGAGACACTTGAACTGGAGTAACAGGCACGTACCGATTGATATTTTTCAATCCGAGTTTTAAAATAGTTCCAATAATGACCAACAGACTGACGAAAATGGCAGTCAAGAGCTGCTTGTTTTGGTAGACGAATTCCCTGCAAATAGTGGAAATTTGTTATGAATTTTGCTTCCATCGAATCAACCTTTACAACCTGATATGGACATCGTGGATGTTCTTATTAACTACGACTTTCATATTGACGATCTATTTCTTCGGATCAGTTTTCATGTCTGAAAAATTAAATAAAATGATGAAAAATTATTGAAAAGAAGTCAGGAATACCAAAATTATTATAATTTTGTGTGGTGATTAGTGACCCTTTTGTCGATGATTATTCGAAAATCGTGAGATTCGGTCTGGTGTGATGTAGGACCTATTATTACAATTTTTGAGTTTAGTTTAATAATGTGTGGTGATTAGTGAGCGTTAATCGATATTTATTTAGAAATCGTGAGATGCGGTCTGGTGTGGTGTAGGTTTCAGAAAAACATTTTCTTTATCGTGCCAACGATGTTTTATTATATTTTGACCTCAACAGTTAATCTTATGATTCTTCCTTCTTGAAGGTGGGATAATAGGTCATCTCAAAAAAACCACAACCAGTTTTTATCCACAATGTTTCGGATTTATTTGAATCCTTCCTCAGGTGAGTTAACGCAATGGTTAAAAAAGTAATCGTCAGTCATTAATATTTTTGATTTAATATTTTTTAATATAAAAAATATAAAAACGTTTGTTTCTAGTCTGAATAAGTACCACACTGGCTCTTTTTTTAAAATAAATTGTTATAAAATATTAATGACTGACGACCACTTTTTTAACCATTGTGTTAACTCACCTGAGGAAGGATTCAAATAAATCCGAAACGTTGTGGATAAAAACTGGTTGTGGTTTTTTTGAGATGACCTATTATCCCACCTTCAAGAAGGAAGAATCATAAGATCGTGCCAACGTTTCGATCATTATTGAGATCATCTTCAGGGCTCAAAGTGTTTGTCTTCTGTGTAATTGTGTCAGTCTTGCGTGTCGTGTAGAGAGTTTAGTTTAATAACTTTATAAAGTTTATTTTATTTCATATATAATGAATGAAGACAATAAGACACACTCCTCTCCCTTATTGTTCTTTGATCCTCTTTCCTGTTTCCATTACATCCAATTTTTCCAGCAATTTTTACAAGGTCCACTTTATATCTCTTGATTGTTTCTTTTATCTTCGCCTTAGTTTTCGAAACTAAAACACAATTCAACGAGTTTGTTCACTCTATCCTCTCCGCGTGTCCAGCCCAGGTTCGTTTTCTTTCTGGCTACCTTTGCGACATCCGACACACGATGCCACATCTCCCTTCTTTGGCTAGTTGGTTAAGCCTGTTTCCTACAATACCTTCATGTCTCAGATACCACCTCAATTTAACATTTTTTTCTTTTTCCTAATGCCATTAGGAAATTTAGACAATCCGAGCTTGATGCACCTCAGCTTCGAAAATAGTTGGAATCAGCTCAAAGGGTTTTGATCTACACCTACTGTTTCATCTTTGATCCATCAATGTACATTAAGACCCCTTTTCCTGAAAACCGTGGCTGGTGTTGGATGGTTACACTTATGTTTTTATCTTTCGTCGTATTACCTAGCAGGCTTATTATGATGGCCTTTGTTACTTTTGAACTATTCTGCTGAATTCTGGTCCAAGTTTGAGCCACAAATAATCAATTCGGATTTGGTAACTACTTATAAGGTTGCCATTCGAGAGGGGCGGTCGCGTACTGAGGTGGTGATAAAAGGGACAACGGGACTTTACTACGATAATCTGTGCTACTCGACCACCTTATTCACCAAGCCTTCTCCTATATCACCTAGGTCAGCTGATGGACCGTAATGTGTTATCGAGGTACGAGGTAGACAGTAGGCCTCTTTTGGAGGTGGCTGGGCAATCTCTCGCGCTGTTCTAGTTTAATGTCTCACTTGCTCTTGAGGGTTGGTTTTTTTTTAGTAACTTAGAACTCATGTGCGAAAAATCAGGATGTGTTAGCGTTGAATCACATATCTTTGCAGTACCTTTTCTTTATTTTTCGTAACTCTTATTATAGTCCGAGGATATTTTTCACGAAAGGTTGTCGAGAGAGGTTGTCGCGTATTGAGGTGATAAAAGGGAAAACGGGGACGTTTACTACGATAATCTGTGCTACTCGACCACCTTATCACCAAGTCTTCTCCTATATCACCTAGGCCAGCTGATGGACCGAAATGTGTTATCGAGGTACGAGGTAGACAGTAGGTCTCTTTTGTAGGTGGCAGGGCCATCTCTCGTGCTTTTTTAGTCTAATGTCTCACTTGCTCTTGAAGGTTGAGGATTTTTTAGTAACGCACGAAAAATCAGGATGTGTGTTAGAGTATCAGTTCCTACATGGCGATCATCGTTTCCTAGACACACCATTTTGAGTGGAGAAGCAGAGGGAAGCGTACTACAGTGGTTTATTGTTTGTTCGATTGATCAGGTCAGAAGTACTAATGCCGATACGGCCTGATGGTGGTTCTCTAAAGATTCTCGTATAGCGATCGCATTTCCCCGTCAGACGCATTGAAGAAGGCTAAATAACTTCTGATAGGCAAACCCAGCGAGAATATACAGACCGAAATCAGTAACGTCAAAAGAGCATAATTTTGGGTATTTTTGTTTCATTTGATCTATCATCCTAGAAATAATGTGAAAGCGTTACTTTGTTTGAAACAATCCAACTTATTTTATGATGGGTACGTTTGAGCGTGTGTATACTGTCAGAAATGCATTGTTTTTTTATTGATTTTTTCAAAACTTGTTAGATACCTAAAATTCCTAACTTCTGGCGGATCCAACCCTGAAGGCGTGACGCGTGTGAAAATCCAAAATAGTTATGATAGGTAACACAAAAGTATCAAAAACTACCAAAATACAATTTAACGTGACTAGGTAAATAATTACAACACTCACAAATCTCATGTATCTTCGAATTTCTACAACGCTTGGAATGGCCGGTACATTCTGTTTTGTTGAACGGACGGAATGCTTGTTCACTTGTAATTTTGTAGGTTTTCCCCCTCTTAGATAACAATTGTTCAAACCATTTTTGATATAAATTTATTGTTTTTAAAAAAGTGAACCTTAACATATGTTAGTATTATTTTTTTTTTAAATTTCTCGAGACGAAATCGGCAGAATAGCCGGTTAGGCACGGGCCCTTTCAAATCAACAGCTGTGTCGGATGGCCCTGGGGGAAGGGTAAAAGGCCCTTTTTGTCAATCGGGGCACTAATCACGGAACGAGCGTGTCATCCTTCTCACAATTGGGCCACTTATACCTGTTTTCCGAGCCCGGGGGGTTGATCAGGTGGATTTGTCCGACCCGTGGCGTCAAATCCTAGGTTTATTCTTGAACTTCTTGAATTTAAAATACAAAAAACAACCCAATTTGACACACAAAAAAAAACCTCTGATCCTTCTTCTTCTTAATGAAAACAAGAGGGTGGGTTGAGGGGGTGGATTAAGAGAGAAGTGGGGCCGGCCCATTGATAATTATACCCCTTGCGCCCGCGCATTCTCATTAACGCCCATTGATGAAATCCCATTCATGGATTAGTACAACCGAGTCTGTAGTAATACGGTGATAACATTCTGGTCCGTTCAATCTCGCTTCTAACCTTATCTTGCCCTACATCCAAGATGCACTTCCACGTCAGTGATCTGGCACACAACTTGTACACATTCAACAATAAAATACAAAAACCATAAACTCTCCAATCAATAGTTAAACAAATAATTTTAAAAAACATTCACAGATCGAAAAATAATTAAAGACAATTAATAATCAGTCACGGGAAGTATATGTCAGCGTTGTGAAAAAATATCTGGTCAGCGTAAGCCCGCTCCTAATCTTACCTGTTCTCAAAAAAAAGTCTCTTGGTCTGAAAAATTACCAAAAAAAATTGGATAGCTATATATAGATAAAAGAGAAAGAATTAGGAGTTTGAGAGGAAATTCGAAGAACGAGTGACGTAGATTACATTGATTGATCGAAGATAGTATGAAATTTGAAGTTGCAACACGAATACAAACCTGGTCTCTAAATTGCAGGATGAATAATCAAAATAATTTAACATTGGAAAAAACGGTATAGATAAGTAGTCCGATAGGTAACTTGGTAAATGGCTAAAAGACAGAAAGATTGTCACTAAATGTTGCTAAATAGTTTTCGGTTAATTAAGGTATTTAGTTGAGAAAAAAAAGTCAGTGTCAGGAGCGGGATTCGAACCCACGACCTTCGGCTAGTTACACCGCTGCTTTACCCCTTGAGCTATCGTGACCTCGATCTACTCGGACACTAACTTCCCATCTCAACCCCACCTTTTGAATTTTCCCTCCTTTTTGCCATTTTTCAATGGGAGTTCGAGTGGGTTCGAATCCCGCTCGTGACATTGGCTTTTTTATCTCAACTTAAAACCTTAATTAATTGAAAGATATTAATTGGTCAAGCGGACCACGAAAACTAGTGGAGTTGCTAAATTGATTGATTGATAAAAAACTCATTGAAAACTGAATCAATGGATCGTTAGATAACGAAATAGGTTTATAGATACGTAGATAGACTAATTCAGTGACAAAAAATATTAGTTGGAGAGATTAAATAAACAGATGCCAAAAAAATAAAACATTAAAAAAAATTAAATATTTGGAAATTGATAGAACAAAAAAAATTTAGTATGGGGTAAAACATAATAAAAAGAAAGAAAGATAAAAAAGATGAGAAATGGAGGGAAATATACAAAATGTGTGTGTTTGAGGAGAGAGAGCGAGAGAGAGAGAGAGAGAGAGAGAGAGAGAGAGAGAGAGAGAGAGAGAGAGAGAGACTTGAGAGGGCGATAGACTAAATAAATTCGTAAACAACAATAATGTATGAAAAATGAATACAATATTTAGAAAACTATAGATCAACGCTATAGAATATCAGGGAAAAAAGTACGGTTTGGAAAAAGATAACAATTGAAGAAAAAGATGGAGAGAGATATAGAAAAAAGGGAGATGGATAGAGAGAGATAGGTAGATAGATAGATAGAGAGAGAGAGAGAGAGAGAGAGAGAGAGAGAGAGTGAGTGAGAGAGAAAGCGAGAGGGTGAGTGAGAAAGAGTGAGTGCGTTACTGTAGTAATGAACCCAGTATGTACGCATTTTATTGTTAAGCGAATTTTGTTGAAATCGATTTTGATGAAATCGTTATTTATTCTTATTTTCGTTTGGCTTTGCTGAGTGTGAACATCAAATTTATGCGATAAGGTGCAATATAAAAGAAGTAAGCTCCGTTTCTCTTATGTTAACATTCTGCGACCAGAGGCAGGTATCAGGTAAGTATAAAATAAGAAGAACGCAACTTTAATATTTAACATAACGTCCCTCCTTTTTTTGGATTATGCTGAAAAGATCGTCACCAGTTTATAAGGAGGGCCCTTGCCGTATAATAATTTCGACTAGCAAGTTGTGAGAAAGTTGGGAAGATCTAAGTTGCCGAGAAAGGTCGGCCGGGGGTGAAAAGGTGGTAAAAGTTGCAAGTGAAAAGTAACTTCCTCCGACTTAATTCCCGCTTTGTTTCCCGGCCGCAACAGAAGCAGTGTTGCCCGTGGCCGACAACTTGGCCGGATAACAGCCGGAGGGCAGATTTAAATGAAAAAAACCCTTCTACAAAAAAGAAACAAAGCCGTGCGGGCACAATGCGCCGCCCTGTCAGTCAATGCAAATCGGCCTTTTCCCACAGCAACAAGACGGCCCAGGTATTAACATGTCAAAGCCCGCACCCCAGAACCCCATTGACACGTTAATTCTATGCAAGTAACGTGTCTCCCCAGGTAGCCTCTCGACAACAGCTTTTCGAAAGGGAAAACAATTTATTATCAATTCGATTACATCTGCTACGAAATTTGGGTATGTGCGTTGAAAAGTTAAACTTTTCTGTGAGTAGATACAAAATCTACATCATCGGCAATACAAACATGGATTAATATGTAATTTATGGTTGAGAGCGTCGGTGGCCGAAACGTTAAGGCGTTCCACGGCGGTCATCAATGTACGGTAAGGGTCTCGGGTACGAATCCAGCAGCCCTGCATACTTACAAATAACCTCGCTGTTGCGTACCACCGTGCAAAAAATATTTTAGAATCATTCACTGGTTTTCGTGGACTGCTTGACCAATTAATATATTTCAATTAATTAAGGGTTTTAGTTGATGTAAAAAAGTCGGTGTCACGAGCGGGATTCGAACCCATGACCTTCGCCTTGATATGCCGCTACTCTACCAGTTGAGCTATCGTGACTTCGATCCCATCGGGCACTAACTTTCCATCTCAACCCCATCTTTTGAATTTTCCCTCCTTTTTGTCATTTTTCAAATGTCGTGTAATCTATTTGATACTCGGCGACAAATGAAATGGACACATATAGAAACTCGAAGATCGTGGGTTCGAATCCCGCTCGTGCCACTGACTTTTTATCTCAACTAAAAACCTTAATTAATTGAAAGATATTTAGAATATTATTGTAGTATTAGATTGTAAGAACACTGATACGTATAAAACATCGACGTGGAAAAAATATCCATTTAAGGAAAGCTGACGTTTGTAGAAACATTGACCTTAATCAATGTCGAAAAACATTGAACTAGAATATTTTTATAAAAAAATCCACATTTTACAAGACTTGACTAGGCCTGTTAAGTGTAGTAAACTACCTGAACCAACTTTAGAATTTTAGATTTCAACATAATCACTTGCAGAGTAAACAAACGGCCATGAAACATTGAATTTTAGGGTCGCTAATAACATCTCCAACAAAACAAACTTAGTTTGAATTAGTATGAGATAGATAGAGAGAGTAAAAAGTAATTGACTGATTTTGATTTATTTTATCAAGCAAAGTTAGGTCTATTGACTAATCATTCTACTACTTAACTAACCTTTCTGCCACTGAATAGAGAGAAGTAGACAGATAGATACTGAAAAAGTGAATATGTGAAAGAGAGAGAGATTGAGAGAGAGAGAGAGAGAGAGTGAGGGAGAAAGATAGAGATCCGTATAATATGATAACGTTTTATTTATTTTACCTCGCAGAATTAGGTCTCTTGGTTCAAATAAATGTGAGATAAGGGGAGTAAAAGAAAGATGATTACAAACAATTTAAAGCAGAACTAAAAATAACATGAAAAACAGATAGATCTGTAGATAGATAGCGATAGAGAGATAGAAAAAGAGAGAAAAAAAAGAGGGCGAGAGGGATAAGGAGGGAGCGATAAAAAAAAGAGAGGTTAAGAAAGATAAAGAGAAAGATATGATACGACAACGTTATATTTCACCACACAGAATGAGTCTTCTGGTTCAAATGAGTAAGTGAGTGTAGTGAAAGAAGAGTGAAAGAAAGAGAGGGTATGATGGGGAGTAAAAGAAAGATCACCTGCCTAACAATATTCTTTATTTTTCTTAAGTGATTAGTGGTAGCGTAGACAACTTTTAGATGTAGAAACGTTATATCATTAAACGATTTCATTTTAATATTATTTAGTGTTTATCTCTTTTCACTTTCTCCCATTTAAACCGTATAAGATATTTCCCAACCGATTTTTTCCTACGACTCATCTGCCCAGGTGCTCTCGCTCAATATTCACATCCCCAAACGGCCTGGAACCGAAAAATGGTAATCAACCCCCGTGGAAGACGCAAGGGAGAAACGTGAGAAAGTGCGTCCGGAAAGGGTTGATGTATAAAAAAAAAGGGGTGGTGCACAGGTATAAATTCTCCAAGGGCTCTCCCAATAGACTTGATTAATAAGGGCTCTTGGATCATCTCATTGTCCTCGGGCCCCCTTTTTTGTGTGTGTTTAACCCCGCCGGGGGATGTTCGGTAACGCGAGGGTCAGGTGTCGTTTTCCGCTGAACAAAAAAACCAGTCGGCGGCACACGATTACATGCATTTGCATACAACTAAAAACGCACCGAGCTAAGAAACAACTGCAATTTCGTAAAAACGAAAGCTTCAAATATCTCTAAATTTTTCTCAGTAATTACATTCATAGAATTACTACTAGCTTCGACCAATTTTGATTTTTACATTCAAGCAATAACCGGACAATAATTATAATAATAAT